TCAGTGCTTTTGAACAACTTGGCTGGATGAATTAATGTGATTTAATGCATAAACTTACAGCCTGACCAGTTAGGTATAGTAAACTCACGTACTGTTTAATCAGTTATGGTGTGCACATGAAGTGCCTTGGTGTAGAAATGTGTCCCATTACTTTTTAAAGTAATTAGTCATACTGACATATTTAACCAAGATCCCTGTGAAATCTAAAAAAAATTCTCACCAAATAAACGTGACAAAATTAGTAATTAGAAGATATAAACACTCAACACTTGCAGTTTGTCACTTCTGTCTAAAAGGAGCAATTATTTTTTGACATCATACTTCAGGAGTGTCACGGTGGCTTAGTGGTTAGCACTGTTGCCTCACAGCAAGAAGGTTGTTGGTTCGAGTTTTGGCTGGGCCAGTTGGCATTTCAGTGTGGAGTTTGCATGTTCTCCTTGTGTTGGCATGGGTTGCTTCTGGGTGCTTCAGTTCCCCCACAGTTTAAAGACATGCGCTATACAGCAATTGAATAAACTACATTTTCTGTAGTGTGTGTGTGTGTGTGTGTGTGTGTGTGTGTGTGTGTGTGTGTGTGTGTGTGTGTGTGTGTGTGTGAATGAGAGTGTATGGGTGTTTCCCAATAATGTGTTGCGGCTGGAAAGGAATCTGCAGCGTAAAACAAATGTTGGAATAGTTGGCGGTTCATTCCGCTGTGGCGACCTCTGAAATAGAGATTAAGCTGAAGAAAAATGAATGAATGAATCTTCTTCAGTTTCTCATCATGTTCTAACCAATCAAATGCTCACGAGAATCTGACATGCACCGGCCCCTTTAAGATGCTTCTCATTTTGATCATAGAGCTATAATAAAAACAAAACACTATTGGACATCTTTAGAAAAGAGGAGAGCTACTCTATATCCTGCCCTGTTATAATGTTTCAGTTGAGATAATGTCACAGTTCAAACAAAAATGGACATTTCAAAGCACTTTACGGGACATTTAACACTAAGGGGACTCACTTGATTTCTAACACGGCAACTTGCTAAAGTCTTGACTTGCTAAAACCTAGCAACCACGCAGAGCCTCCTAGTAACCATTCAGCATCGCTAACAATCGCATTGCAACACTGTAAAAACACTACATGCTGCAACTCAAGTAAATATCGAGCTGCATAACACATCCTGAGAAATGAGGAGATGATAAAAGCAAAATATCTGCGGTGTGACTCATCCGTGCCTTCAAACTAGAAAATCAGTAACATTCTTTTGGTATGGATATTGGATCCACTTATTTCATCATCATCACATTGTGATGTAGGTCAAAATGTAGGACAGGACATGGAAAAAAATGTTCTTATGTAAGCCTTATGTATAATTTTTGAGCCTTGGGTGTTTGTGACATTTGAAGGAACAGCAGAAGCCTCTGGTGGCTCGGGATGTGAGGTGAGAACTGTGCCGTTCCCCTGTGACTCTGAGGAGACACGGTTTAATTCAGCAGACAAAGACAGCTGGTGTGTGGAGCAAAGTTAAAAAGAAGCTTCTCTAGGTTGTCTGAAGCGGTGTAAAATATGCATTAAGAAAAAAAAATCAGGCGACTGAAGCAAAGCATTGTGACTTCATCTGATCAAATGATTCAATTCAAAGTTTATGCTAAAACAAGCTATGAAAACAATAAGCCCAACAAACATCTGTTATCACCTCCTTATCTTAAATGGTTCCATTAGGAACTTTTGGTTTCTGCTTTCCAAAGCCATTTTATATAGGATAAAAGGCTCTTTATGTTACTAAAATGTTTTCATGATATTAAAACAGATTCCTTTAAGAGCAGATAGTTAAGGGAGGATAAAAGTATGCTAGATCTGTAGCCTATAAGTCTCTTAGGCCTACTGTGTGAGAGATTATGTATGTTTTCCCTACTGAAAAAAAAACAGCTTAAACCACACTCTAAAAAACGTTGAGTTATTTATTTAACCCAATGGCTGAGTTAAACATATTTGGTGCTTTGTTGAGTTATTTGTAACCTTTATTTGTTTATTTATTTAGTGAAGTCTGCTCCAGGTTCTGGACAGTCTCTAAAGCACACAGAGCTCCATATTCAGCTTCGTCAACACATATTTCCTGCTTGCAGTTTATAATTGCCTTTACTTTGTTCTCTTTCTTTGTTTGTGATTCTTTATTCATTTTAACAAGTGTCTGGAACTTAAAATGTAATGGAAAGAAAGCATTTTTAATATTTTAGAAAACTGTTATTTATGTACACAGCCATAATTATAAAATGAATAGTAGTACTAGTAGCAATAGTAATACAAGAATGGAAAAAATAACATTTAATCAAAATAACCCAATGCATTGGGTTAAAATAACCCATATTTGGGAAGGTGCTATAATAAGCTATAGTTGGGTTATGTGTTGGGGTAGTTTTAACATATTTTAACCGAGCAGCCTATAGGCCTGGTTTTATTTATTTTATTTCCAGGCTGGTTTTCAACCATTTCCAGCCTGGTCTTAGCTGGTCAGGCTGGGAAATGACCAACTAAAACCAGCTTGACCAGCCTGGTTTAAGTTGGACATAGCTGGTTTTGGCTGGGCTCCCAGCCTGGCTAGCCTAGTCATGCTGGTTTTAGGAGGTCATCTCTCAGCCTGACCAAGAAAACTCCAAGTAACCAGCCAACCAGCTTAGGCTGGCTTTTGTTATTTTTCAGCATTGCTATTGTCTTTCTGAAGTGTAGTAGCTACTATTATTTTTTAACAGTGTTCGTTCTCACATATTACCTTACTTTTTCTTCCGAGTAATGTTGTCATTACTCTCTGAGAATCACAAGATAAGCTTCTAGCCATCTACAAAATGGTTTGTATTCTCAATGGTTTGTATTGCGTTGAAGTGTCACAACCGCATCAGTTGTTTACAATACCATTTTGAATTGCAAGATGGCGCTAAATACCTTACTCTAAATTGCCATAATAAGTGTGAGGCATAAAATTGACAGATATTAAGACAGCTGTAAAATATCTGAATATGTGAACACCTCTATAAAATGTATAGGCTATTGTAATATATATTAAATTCAAAATAATAATATTGAAATATTCTCATACTCCTTTGGCAGTTCTTATTTTGAATAAATAATTACACATTTTACATATAGCATAAATGTGTAGTTAAGCTATAAAATAGAATAGATGTAGGCTACCACATTTGTGTTATCACATGACATGACCTACCACTGTCTGTTGCTCGCTTCGCTGCCATTCACAAGTCTTATGCTATGGCCTCATGGGAAATATGCACGCCTTAAAATCGTGCTGGAAGTGTCAGTTGCTGTATTTTTTTATTAACCTGCTGAAAAAGCGATTTCAGATGCAGGTTGGGATTAATATTAATACACAACAATCAACAGATGAGTTCTTCAATCGGTAAAGCACATAGCTTCTTTGCAATTTACACTAACTTAGCTAGCAAGCAGAATTCGAACCAAAACATTTAGCCAAGAGCACCTGATAAGTCTTTGTTTTTTTTAATTAATTTAGTTTATATAAAGGCTTTATTTGTCATTACTTATTACGTGAAGGGTTTGTCATATGTAGCTCAGTGCAGTTTAGCTGTGGTATGTTTATATTTGGATGTTTGAACTTTACACGTTTCTCCGCCATCGACAGATGTGTTGTAACTTGAATTGAGGCGCCATCTGCTGGACGACGACCAGAGAAAAAAGGACCCAACACGGAAGTGAGTGGCTGTGTTTCTAATTTTGTTTATATGGATGCCATAATAAACTTGCTTATGAGTATCTAGTCATTAATTAACTCTAAATCACAAACAGTGTTCAAAGAACATACCTTCGTTTATCGCTTCAGATATCATACCTGTGGTGAGTCAGCTTGTTATTTTCGCTCCTTACAACAACACGAGTGTAGTTAATCTATATAGTAAATAAAGTACTACTAGGAGACTTTATATGCAAATGTAAACCTAGTTCAGTCACACATACCCATAAAAAGTGTAATATCTCTACTGAAAATGCTATTTGACACATTTTGCCATTTGTCATCACTAAGTATGAGCATACATAATAATGCAGCTTATATTTAGATGCTACTTACATTTATTTTCACATCAAATGTAAAACTAATATATACCCTAAATATTTTCAAAATCCCTATAATTGTCCTTATTATTTTCAAAACCCCTATAATTGTCCTTATTATTTTCAAAAAAGTTATGTTTATATGAAGATATAAATGTGGCCTAAGCTGGTTGACCAGCCTGGTTTTGAGAGGGGTTTCAGTCATTTCCAGCCTGGTCTTAGCTGGTCATACATAAGCTACATTACATTACTATGTACATACATAGCTGGTTTTGTTTGGCTGGGCTGGTCAAGCTGGTTTTAGCAGGTCATCTCCCAGCCTGGAAATGGCCAAACCAACCCCCTCTAAAAGCAGGCTGGTCAACCAGCTAAAACCAGCCAGCTAGCTTAGGGGGGACACATTGTGAGTGAGAAATAAGCAAGATTAAGTCATTATTATAAAAAATACCTTATTATTTCTATTGGATTTAGGATATGTACTTTGGTATTGTGTTCTTGTAATCTAAATCAAATAGTTTTTGTAGTAAGCATGTATAAGGCTATTATGAGATTATTTAAAGGCCTGCTTTTTAATGCAGTATATGGATGCAGTCTTGCAGTTTTACCACAATGGCATTCAAATTTAAATGATTTATAATAGATTATTTTAAATTCAACCTTTCCTTTTTAAAAATTGTACTTTAATATAATTTATCCTTGGACATTTTCAATCTAGAATGGCCATGGAAATTAATTTACAATCAACACTTCTGAATATAGTCATAAATTAAAACCAAAAATTAGCATGTCAGAACAAATTTGATTTAATGTAATCCAATATTTCACCCAAAGTATGTAATTTAGGTCACATTACACCATATAATCAGTAAAAGGCTAAAATTTACACAGCACAGGGTAGCCTATTAACAAAAAGTGAACACACACCAAAAATCTTATGCAAAAACACCATGTTTATTAGACACCAAACTCTCTGAACAACCAGAGTTATTAAAAACACTTCGTTGCGAAGCATATGCAGAGTTAACACAGAGTGAAAACAAAAATAAACATGAGAACTCCACATTGGAATCAAAAAGCACCACAGTGTCAGTGTGTCGGGATCACATCCTCCATGTACAGCACATGTACCCACATGCATGTGGGTTTGATCTTGGTTTCTCTTTGAGAAGGAGTGTCGGCCTTGCTCTTCACTTCGAAATCTAAAGGACAGGGGACATGGGCCCTCACAAGGTGACCATGGGGCCGGTTTGAAATCAAAAAAGTGATATTTTTGTATCCAAACATAGTTTCAAAACAAGTAAACAAAAGGTGTGACCCGTTGCCTGATCTAGGCGAGGACTGCAACCCAGCAGCCCGACCACATCTACATTGTAAACAAAGCAGTTGAGCAGTTCTTGTTTGCTACTGACACACACAGTGCTAAACTCCAGCAAACCAAAACAAGATGCACCATTCCAGGACAAACCAACCAGAGGCCAGTCAATACTATAATAAATGCATTCCTATAACGTTAACCCACTAGATTTTTGCATCACGTTGGCATTTCAGTCCAAACACTGAGATTTATAAATGAAAGAAGGGTCACATTTCAAAAAACAGTCAAAAAAGTACATAACATGTCCATCTCGGCAATGTACAATAGAAAAAACATGAAGGGCGTGATATCAAAGTTTGTAAAAACCCAATGAGCTGGCGGCCCCGTTTGAAAACGTGAGGACGTTCATGCATCCGCTGGCTCGGGAAGTCAGTCCACAGATTTGGGGATGTCGTGATCCGATGGTTCCGATGAAAACTGGAGTCGTCTGACCGCTTCCTTGATCAGATTCCCGGACAATATGAGTTCCTGCAGAAGCTGGTGCGGATCGTCCTCGTCGATTTTCTTTCGGTTCCACGAGGATTTGAAATGGTCCCATTCCTGATCGCTGGATCCGGGCGGGTTGTATGGACTGGCCCGGCTGGTGCGTAAACTCCGGCTGCGCAAACGGATGCACCGCTGACCGCCCGTCGAGCTCCCGCCGCCGCCGTTCGGTTTGCTGCCCGTGAAACCGTGTAGACGTGACATCGCCTTCTGGCTTGAGCTATTGTTGTGAAGCTGCAGCGCCTCGCCGATTTTCGACACGAGAGCGTCTACTTCCTTTGAATCCACCGTCACCGACTGTTCCAAAAAAATATAGTTCTCCTTTCGACAAGGCATTTTGTATAAATAAGCAGATATCAAAATATCCAGACGTGGTTTTTGTTTTTATTCAAATGGACGGGATCGTTTAGCCGGCGTCCGCCACGCTGCCCAACAGAAACAGCTCAAGGGTTGATTTGTAAACAATGGATGACGCAGAATCCGGCACGTACCATTTCTAAGAGTGATAGGGGGCACGCTTGGTCGTTTTAAGTTATAAACGCTATGTTATGTAATGTAACCACTCGTTGGAGAGAGACTTTATACGTTTCAGCTACTACACAAATTAAGCAGTCCACTCAGTGAAGCGTTCTTTGTGTTTATATTTATTTTGGCCCAGCCATACGTCTCCGCGGATCCGCGTGTCATCAATCTTGACGTTACATAACAGTCCCCGAGTGTATAAAAACTAGACAGCCACATGTGTGAACTCGATGCACCCAAAATGCTGGTTCAACCGATTGGGGCGATACTAGATGTACTTGATTTCTAGGAATGTTCTGAAGTGTATACGTTGGCATCAAATTAGTTTCGTACTTAATCTTAACACATTGGGAAGTGAGACCTGCTCGTTTCGTGTGGCACGTGCCAGGGGGAGAACACTGAAATGCAGTTGCATCAGACACGTTTATACAATTAAAGGGGTAGTTCACCAAAATAGGTTAAGGTTTTTGTTGTTATTATTGTTGATTGAAACCAACACAGTGATTTATGATTTCTATCATGCAAATTAACTCACAATGTGAGAGTAAAATAAACTTTTGTGTTTGCCAAAATGCGTAGACACGGTTTTAAGGAATAGCCATGTCAATAAAGGTTTTTAAAAAAAAAAAAATCCAAATTTTTTGAGTGCCTTGAACTTACTTTTTCTGTTTATTCTGATGAATTCCTTACCCAAAGCACTAACACATTAATTAGGCTACCCCTCAGCACTTTTTGTTTGATTTTGGATTTTTAAAACAAACTTGTGTTGTAATTGTTGTTGAAACAATGCACGAAATGACATTCTAGAGTATAGACCATTTTAATGTGGTCATGCTATTAGCCCATGAACATTTGCTGTATGTTGTCAAACTATTTAATAACTTTAACAAGAGGCAATTCAATCATAACTTAATGTTAAAACAGTCGTCATAAAATTATTTATCAATTTGTGGCTCTTTTTGGATTCTCGGAAACTATAGAAATTAAAAATGTAAAACAAGAAATACGTTGGGACCATTGTTTTTGTTTACATCCCTCAAAATAGTCCAACTAATACATAAAAAAAAAAATTTAGTTATCACCACACACATATAAATTTAGTTTTGCCTCTATGATTTTGTTTTATTTGCACTTTCAAAGTACAGATGGCCATTATCACCGAAATTGCGTCACCCAAAAGTCAACATTTTGAGTGAACTATTCCATTGACTACAAGGTATCGTGGGTCAATGTTTTGTTGGTTATCAAAGTCCTGTTATGCAGTTGGCAGATATTATATCTACAGTACATACAGTTGAAGTCAGAATTATTTGCCCCCCTGAATTATTAGCCCCCTGTTTATTTTTTCCCCCAATTTCTGTTTACTGGAGAGCAGATTTTCTCAACACATTTTAAACATAATAGTTTTACTTACTCATTTCTAATAACTGATTTATTTTATCTTTGCCGTGATGACAGTAAATAATATTTTACTAGGTATTTTTCAAGACACTTCTATACAGCTTAAAGTGACAATTAAAGACTTAACTAGGTTAATTAGGTTAACTAGGCAGGTTAGGGTAACTAGTCAAGTTATTGTATAATGATGGTTTGTTCTGTAGACTATCGAAAAACAATAAAGTTTAATGGGGCTAATAATTTTGTCCTTAAAATGGAGTTTAAAAAAATTAAAACTGCTTTTATTCTAGCTGAAATAAAGCAAATAATACTTTCTCCAGAAGAAAAAATATTATCAGACATACTGTAAAAAATTCCTTGCTCTGTTAAACATAATTTGGGAAATATTAAAAAAAGAAAAAAATTCAAAGGTGGGCTAATAATTCTGACTTCAACTGTATATGAAACATTAAAGCCTTTCCAGTATATTAAGGGTGTGTTTGCAGAATACTCACACTCATGCCAGTGTTGAAGGTGTGTAGCGTCTCAATGGATTTATGTCAAAAAATCTCTCTAAATCCATTCAGACTTGCAGCAGTGACTCATTACAGCTAGATTTAAGGAGATGTTCAGTAAAATTAAAATACTGACATGTTGGGCCAAATAACTGATGTGCTTTGTGTGAGAAACAGGTCAAAACCTGTAATTTAATACTCTTTAATTTCCTCTTAACATTAGCTTATACCTTGAATGATTTATTCTTCTTAGTTTTATTGTTTCAATGAATCAGTTGTTCAAGTTTACAAAACAGGTTGAAATAATTTGTTTACCATCAGATTAATTCAGTAATTAAACTGGTGAGAAGATGACAATGAAATCGTAACATTAATTACTCTTTCCCATCTAAGATATAACATTATGCGTGAGCTATTTTAATAATACTTTCACAATCGCAAATGAGGCCTGAGTTAATGTAAAAATGATCAGATTTTAATTGAACGATTGTACTTTAGCATCCTTAAACCTTGATTAAAAAGGAAATTGGGCTTCTTCAAAAATCTCTTCAGAACTTTCTGTTCTCTTTCGCAGTTATCAGCACGACCACGTCCTCTTTTTCACAGGAAGAGGCTTTTGACTTCCTAGAAATACGAACAGTTAAGCACAACTGCTACTTTTGGATATCCGGTTGCATATGGCACAAAACCATGCAATTAATGTCTAATACATCATAATAATGAATCCTCAGTGTGCTCAGCAAAACCAGAAACATCTGCAAATGTTTGGCCCCCCATTCATGCCAAACTTGCACTCAGTCACTGCACTAAAATAAATAGCATAAGCAGCTTAAAGATCTTAGCAGCTGTATCTGTGAGCACGCTTGCATTTATGACATAACAAATGACAATGTTTAAATCTGATAATGTATGCTGACAGCTCGCAGAACATGAAAGAACATACATGCATATCATATTACTTCACCTACACGATCACGAGGTTGGGCCAGTCTGTTTTTTTTGCGGTCTGCATTACATAACACCAAGGGGGTGGATACTATAGGGTGAATGTTACAACGTAATGTTACTGTTTAGCTGCATTGTGCATGTGATCAGTATGGTTTTCAAGATCCGAGCAGAACTTGTTCCTGGAATTGTTAGGTTAAACTCTTCTTTCGGTATTTGAACGAATTATATAAGATAAAGTTTCATATGTTTCCTTTTTTCAATGCAAATGAATAAACAGGCTGCAATCTTGCGATTCCTCATTGGATTTCGTATCTGCACAGATTGCAGGCGAACATCCATAGCAGCTTTCCTTGTTTACCTCACAGCAGGGGAACAGTCTTAAGCACAGACTGAGCCTTTGTGGAAGCTTTAAACACAGGCTGCTGGTGTGCCGTTGCTCACTGTTTCAATCATCAATCTGCTCACTTGCTTTCTGAGAATTCATTCACCTTACTAAGAACTCACTGCACCATGTGGCCTTTGTGATGAAAGAGCTTGAGGTCATTCCTTTTTTAAAAATCAGACACTTTTGTTTACTGTTGTATGAGCAAATATTTAAGTGGATCATACATTTCAGACGGCGATTGATTGATGCCATTTGTGGCGATTTCGTCCTATTACTGCTTATATTAGAGTTAAACCTTAACTTTGAGTATTGATTTGTGTTAGTGTTACAGACATAAATTACTTGATAAATTGTGCTTTTTTAAAAATAAGCATTAGAAATATATTTGCCATAATGGATAATGAAATGGGCTAAAACCCCAGTGGTGTGTAACCAATTAAAATCCACACTTTGACATAACATTGAAAAAATATATATATATTTGGACATTTATACAAATATGTTGACAATTTATAATCACCAAAGTTACTTGAAAGATTAAAAATAGACACAATTTAATAATTCCTATGTATAAAATCAAGATTCTCATAGAAATCAGTCAAGTTTGGTGAAGGAAAAGTCATGGTTTGGGGTTATATTCAGTATGGGTATTCTGATATCAAGACATTTGTGCTGCCCATTACATTACAAACCTCCTTCTCATACATCAGCCTCCACATCAAAGTTCCTGAAGGCACAGAAGGCCAAGGTGCTCCCAGGTTGGCCAGCCCAGTCACCAGAATTAAACATCATTGAGCATGTCTGGGAATGTTGATGAGCTCTGGGAGTCCTGCAAGAACGCTTTCTTTGCCATTCCAGATGACTTTTAATAAGTTATTTGAGTCATTGCAGAGATGTATAGATGCAGTCCTCCAAGCTCATGGGAGTCATACACTATGTTAATTATCTTTCCACTGCTCCGTGACTTCATATTTTTGTCACGGTTGCAGGTTTGTGCGCTTCTCCGGAGTGTATGTTGATCACGTGGGTTTGTTTTGTTTTGGTTATCCATGTGGATTTGTTAGGCTCACGTGTTATGACGTCATTCAGTTGGTCTGATTAGTTCGCCAGCTGAGGCTCATCATGGTGCCTATATCTGGGCGACGCTTTTGTGTGTCTGTGTCAGTTCGTTGTTATCACTCATGTTTGTGTGTCTGTGCTCAGGCCCTGCGGAGTAATCTGGATCTGGTTTTCCCCGTTCTGTTTCCTGCCCTGCGTCCTGCGTCCGTCTAGCCTGACACTATTTGTATTTGTCATCACAATAAACTTGTACACTTGCTATTGGATCTTCTCTGACTCTCATTGAAACGTAACAATTTTAGTACTCTATATCAGTGGTTCTCAAACTCTCCAAGTACCACTAAAATGAGCAGTATTGAAATACAGTAGCATAGTATGCCCAGTAAAGCAGCTACTACTTTGCACAGTTAAAAAACGTGGCAGATTACCTCAGAAATATAGGCTATATGTCATATATGGCATATTATATACATAATTTTTGATCAATTTTGAAATGTGTGTAGCATGTACATTACATATTTTATTCCTCCGCATACCACTAGAAGGAAGCCTGCGTACCACTATTGCTACACGTACCACAGTTTGAGAACCACTGCTCTACATAATTTCTATTATTAAGTGACAA